GCATGTTGGAATGCCTATGTGTTGTTACCCAGCGAGACAATGTCATCGGCATATTCCAAGTCAAGTACTCTGTTCCCCGAGAGGAGTTCGACTTCACCATTTGCTAGACCGGATAAAGTATTCTGTAGAACATCCTCTATGACAAAGTTGAAAAGGAAACGGAATATGCATGCACAGTTAGATCGTATACTTTGCGTTGACCATAGAGGTTGACATTCTTGCCCCCACCCTCAGATAAGATCGAATCCCTGTTCACCCCACATATTCTCATTCACCTTGCACTCATTGTGAGTTCGGCGGCGATCATAGAAGTTAGCTTCATTGTATTTTGCTGAACGACAGATATATATATATATATATATATATATATATATCGTGCATCTTCTTAGGGGATTTCACAACCTTCAGCCTTCAGTTAACCAAAATAGCGAATGAAAGGTTACAGCTGGAAAGGCGTCTTAAATAATACGGACGTAAAAATAAGGTAGCATCATTCAGAAACGTTCGTTGAAGAGCGCAAGTGTGCTATACAAATGACTGACGCAACAATATAAGTAGTTAGGAAATGTTTTAAATGAAGGTTCTAATACATCAATTGGCGACGAAGAGTGATGGAAATGAAGCCCGACATCAGGATACAGGGATCCGATAAACTACGAATGAAAATACCAAAACTTCCAAAGATAACCATGACCGAGCATGTGTGAACGCAAGTCAACGGATAGCCTTCCTTGCTGTGGCAAATGTCAAGGTAGGTAATATATGGTGGTGGTGGCTTTGCGTGAAGTTAAGTAACCTCAAACCAAGAGTCTTCGTCGAAATCCATAATGACGGTCATTCAACAAACCTTTGCGTTCTAGCAGTTGTTTGGAGATGAGAGGAGCTTCAAAAATCCTAAAATCACAGAAGTGACAGTGATGGGACGATAGGGCCAACCTTCTTCTCATGTTTCATTCATGCATGACGGGATTCCAAATATTAGCCGACAGTACGCTGTAAGTTGCTAGATACGGAAGTTACCACGTCTTGGTATAGAAAGAAGTAACTGCACTTTTCCAGGGACTAATGAAAAATTTGAGACCAAGGGAAGAACAAAAAAGGCAGCATTGAATATGGCCTAACTGCGCGTCAATTATTTTCAGGACTACAAGTGGAGTACCGTTCGAAGCGTCTCAATCCCCTAGCATTCAAACCACGGAGAGTTTGGTGAATACTCCCAAGTGCTACGAGAAGGAAAAAATGACTAGATCAGTGGGGGTTGAACTGAAGAATAGCGTCAGTTCATGAGTTGAAGGTGAATGGAGAAAGGAAAACCTTTTTTTCTCGCGTAGTTCACAGACCAGAGTTAGAGGAACTTCAAATGGAAAGAAATTAAGAAGGGCAGAAATTACGTGAAACTACTGTGAGAAGATACCAGAATGTTCATCTATAAGTGGAAGTGTTCATTAGTTCTCTGTACGCAGGGGGAACATATTTTTTCTGGATTGCACTATACGCTTGCGGGGTGCGGTACAAGAAGAGGGTTGAGCCAGCGTCGGGTGAGTTTTAAAAAAAACAGCAGGGTTGTCAGTGTGAATAAACCACTCATGGGATTGTGGTTCTCTGATTTTGGAGAAGTATGGAATACCAAAATCCATGCCGTGAAGAACAGAAGTCGAACCAACAAATATTTCAGGGAAAATAGAACATGGAATCACAAAAACCGTTCCAGTTGGCTCAATCACCGCTTAAGTGTTTCTGGAATCAAGTGGTGAAATAGGATGATGGAAGTGAACGAAGAAGTGAATGAAGCAATGGCCCGATAAACTCAGAGAAGAGGGGGAAATCATAATGGAGAAGTGAATGGATGTACGGATGAGGTCAAACGTGTGGGGATGACCACCAATAGAATCCGAAATGCAAACACGGAAGGCTAAGTAGTTGACTCGGGTTATTGACCACAGCGATAACTCCGCCCATTGGTACCTGCGACCGTCAATATCTCAGTGTTGGCAAATAAAATACCAATGATAAGAAGACCGTCGCTGTCAGGGAAACAGTAACTGTTACAAAAGGGGTGAATAAAAAGTGAGCCTAAGTTTTAACTATTTGAGCTGGAATCCATGTTTGGAGAACTCAAGGTGCGAAAGTCGTGAAGAAGCAACAGAACATTGAACACAAGCGCAGACACGGGCTCGAAATCGCGATGAGACTGCATCTTGACGTAGTGTGATGGTTTGCGGACCCACATGACCCTGCGAGCTATACAGGACGGCTCCTCACAGCCGCAGATCCAATCATACCTAAAAGGAAAATAGGTAGACGCCAGAGAAGCTCAGTATCATAAGGCTGACTGCTTGGGCACCTCCCAGCTTCCTTCGACTATCCACAAGTCCCTGGAGACGACCGTGGGAGGCAGTTCATCGGTCAAGATAACCCGCCAGATGGACGTAGGAGCGAGGCACCTGGGGCTTTTTCCAGACGGTGGGAGAAGTCTCCGCACTTCACTGAACAGCTACCATCTGTCAAATTTGGGCAGCCCCAGTCATCAAGGTGTTGTCCCGTCCACGTTCTTGAAGTGTGCCGGGCCCCAAAGTCTTCGGTACTCATTTGGAAAACCCTCTTTCTCATTTGTCCAGTTCCACCTCTTACTCTAAGATCCTCAGAGATGTTTCCTGTTTACGTCACCCATGGGATATCACACAGCGTTCAACTAATAAGGTCAACAAACCAGAAGCTATCATATCAAAATGCTGCAGCGGTTCGGTCAATATTGCTATATGGTGAAGATACCTGGCCATTATGAAAGTATAAAAACGGATGGTCGATGTTCGGACAGCAACCCTGGTGGGGTGACCGGACAAGCAGTGCTGAGATTAAGCGCACAGGGCCAGGTAACCGCGGTCTTCACCCAGGGTAAATCGTTATCATCATCCTTGTACAGCGTAATACAGTGAAGCGAACTTCACTGATCGCTGCCAAACTCATAACGCATACAAGATAAGTGAGAACGTGTAAGCAGGACAGGGATTGGACCTATTTTTAGGGATGGGAAAAGAACGCGAACCTCTATGGTCAACACAGAGTAAACAGTCCAACTGTGCATACATACTATGTCAAGCATTCTGGTCTGATAAGAAGTAACAGCATGATCGCTACTGCTGTCGGTTCGCAGCCCTGACCTTCAGTGTCTCCAACCATGCGGTTTCGGAGTCTTTTGGACCGAAACCTGGAAGACGAGAGACACCTACTCTACCCAATCGCGCTGTGCATTTCTTCATGCCTCGTCTCCACGTCATCTGCCGTCCTCCATGTGGCTTTCTCCAGCCTGTAACAGCCACTACAAAGAAGGCGCGCTGTGGTAGCCGACCATAGAACATACGCAAAACGTGTCCTAACCAACGGGGCCTACTGAGCTGGATTCGATGAAATAGCGAGTTTTTGTCTGATGTATTCTCAAACAACCGATGACTTACTTCTAAGTTACCAACCTGCTCACTCAATCCCACTTGAGCCAGATTATGTAAGCATCGATTGTCGAACACGACGGGTGTCTTCTACCCACAAATTCGAGGTCTCACAACCGTAAAGCAGAACTGATCGTACAGTGGCGCAGTATACGCGACTTTTCAACTTCAGTGAAATGCCACGTCTACGCCAAAGGTATTTTAGTCCTGTGTACGCTGCTCGAGCCTTGTAAATGAGAGCGGCTATCTCGTTCGATGCGTTACAGTCGTTGGGCACGCAGCTACCTAAGTACGGGAAGCAGTCAACTTCAGCTCATTCCTGACCGTCTAGTTTCAAAACAGGACTCGGTGACACCCAGTCTTGTAGCATCACTTTGCACTTTGAAGGCAAATGGTCGATTTCCATAGGTCACGCTGCTTGTAACATGTGGTTTGCATGTCACCAAATAGGTTGCCACGACGAGCAACGTTTGCCAAGGCGGGTACCGGATGGAAAAACGTCAAGGGGCGGTCAAACTAGGACCTGACTTGAGGGTATACAAACCCTGGGCTACATAAGTCATCTTAGGATCCCTGGATGGGGACCCCGAGCATAGGGTAGCCGGTGGTTAGAGACACTGAGCGATATGGTTGAATGTCACTAAATGGCAGTGGTACATCAATATTCCTAGTATTCTTGCAACCCTAGTCTGTATAAATTCTCCATTTTCCCCTTGAATTTGCTCTCAACGTTCTAATCTTCATTGTTTTGTCATCCAAACGGGCGGCCAAAAAACAGCGACCGAAACCGGCGCACGAAAGCGTATGGTTGATTGTCGTAAAAACCGAAACTGAAACTCTCTCTCGCTCTCCGAAAGAGATAAGTGTATACAAGTAGAAACGTTGTTTTACCGTGGCGATACATGTGCTCCCAGGGGCGAAGGTATTCAACAGCATTCTGTATGTGATCTTTGCTGTCTCCAAGGCGCTAACACTGTTCAGTGATAATATAACACAGTGATTGTGTCTAGATTGGTCAAACTCTCCGAGTCTCGGTCCCGACTGATTTTCCCACTGTAACCCCTTCGAGGGAACATGGCCGTCATGCCACTTAGCTACTGAGAAACAAATAACGGGAATAGTCCCGTGTTGAAGACAGCTCGTACGCTCTCCTGGTTACGACAACTGTCGAATGTTGAATTTGTGTAAACTAGTGTGATCACTTTGAGTGAGCTGCTGTCATAACCCCGAAGGACAGAAATCAGCAAAAAGTATTGGTGTTTCAACCATCTTAGACGGTTTCTTCATAATAACTGACCTGAAAGAGGCCTTGTAAAACTTACAGTATCAAGCTTGGATTAGCCTTTAAATGCGATGGAAAAAGAGCACTAGACAGCTGTTTCGTCTTGTTTGGGACTCGTCAGCAGTGCGTACGTTTCGTGTCCCTGCCAGGACTCGAACCGCGATCAGTCGGGCCGGGCCTTGTAAAAAGAATCATGCGACCAACAATGCCAGCGGATAATAAGGGACTAAGAGGTATGCGTTGCTGCGTGCGGCCGCTTGTTTGCAAATGTACTTCAGCGTTCAACCTCACACCTGTGGGAAGCTGCTTCGATTAGTTCAGGCTGGCCATCACGGAAATTGAACGAGTAAGAGCCCACGCACTGAGATGGATCAAACACTGAGGAAGACATTCTTAATAAGGTAAAGTTGGCTTATCTCCACAAGGATGGAGATTCCGTTAGGCTACCATCAAAATTCGGTATGGGAAAACGAGTGCAGATGATTAAAAAAAAGCCAAGATCGACAAGAGTCATCGAAAAATCCTGCATCCACAGTTTGGTATTCTCAATGACGTCCATGAGACTATGTGCAAATAGTCTACCACTGCACG